ATCCATACTCCTCCTTTTTCAGATAATATATCTAAAACTATACTATTTTCTTACGTCTTCCTGCTGGTAGCATCTAATTGTTTTGCAATTCCTTTTATTGCATTCCTGGCAAGATTTAGAAACTTCTGTTGATCAGAATAAATACAACTTATCCAATCTATATTTATATTGATTGTAACCTACCAAAACACACACATTAAACAAAAAAAAAAAAAAAAAAAGATTCAAACCCTATTGCTACTTTGTTCCTAGCTTTGTGGTTGTCAGCAACTCCTCAAGGAACTCTGAATCAATAGAGGTTCTGTCCTCAAAGGCTGTTCCTAAAATACTTCTCTTTACTGTGTGCCTTGAGAAGTTTGTTTCCCTCTCAAATGCCAGGTTAAATGGAATTGCCAATTGAACAGTTGCACAGGAGCCCCTCTAGTTTGGAGGAAGTGCAGACCTTAGGATTTTTTTTCCCACAGCACCACCCTAAATCTGCTCTGATGATTTTTATAGCTGAGTTGTTTCCTGCATTGTCCTCAGTCACACCTGCATGTGTTTTTAATTCTCCTAGAATTCTCCTGGTAGCATTCACAGCCTGTCATGAGAGACAAGCTTTATGGTTATCAGATGCTGCGGAGAAACATCAGGAGGCACCCTCATGTCCTTGTCCTGCAGAGCAGGGAATATGAGTGAAGAAGGACTTAAAGGTTTTGTTTCACCAGGGAGCCTTCTCCTGCTACAGTGCATTTATGTACATCGTTCCTTGTAAGGCTCAAGTCCATTCTAATGGGAAAGGGGCTATCTGTGCTGAAGCACAGTCGTTCCGAAGCACATGCATAACAATTGCTTCTATTTGAACTTTTCACTGTATATTTGATACATTCTACCCAGGCATTTGCATTACTGTATCCTGTTTCTATTTCAAACACCTACTTCAAATCTTTAATTGCAATTACATTCACTATCTTAAGATTCCTTGGTGGAGTACATGTCCACACCGATGGAAGAATGGTAGTGTCCACAGGCTGGCCACATTCATTTCTCTTTGGCTCCCAAAACACCATTTTAAATCTAGCAATTGAATCCCCTCCTGTCACATCTGCCCTCAGGCCATGAACTTGTCTTACTTCCCCACCAGCACTTGCAATAACAAGTGCTACAGGACCACCCTCTAAATTCCCACAGTCAGGTTCCACGTGACCTTTAAACACCATAATTTTACTTCTTAGAGATTTTCCCTAAGCACTGGGTGAGATCCACTCATTAAAGGCAGTTGTAAACCAAACGTATTCCACCCAGGACAAGGTGATTCCAAGTATGGTTGGAGATAATACTCTAAGTATCATCTAGAGATAACACAGTCTTTAACCACAAAGCATGTGTTTCTGATTTACAATATCTTAAAACCTTTCCTTCATTGCCTTAGGAACTTAATGCCAGACCTAGTATTGAAAACTCTTATTATTGCAAAGCCTTACTATTTATCCTCAAGCTCTAAGATTGGAAAAGTCTTACTATTGTAAAGCCCCATCCCCAATTATGCAAAACCAACACTGTTTCTCTCACAGCTGGGAGTAACTGGAAACACCACTACACTGGCCAGACCAACAGTGTCTTCTGCCTGGAGAACCTACAAACAGGATCAACAGCATCTAGGGATGTAGCCGTCAACTGTGGCATAAGCAGGCTCACCTGAAACAGAGAGCACAAAATAATCAGGTCTGCTTATGAGAAGTGCTCATTACAAGACTCTACACAGGACAGAAACACTGGCCACCTGTGTTAAAGGGATGGAAGGCAATGGTGGATGAGGCTGAAAGAGACGTCTTGATTCTATGATTTGCCGAACAACCAAGGCATTTTACCAAGTTCCATCACTAAAGTGCCAAAGGGAATAATATAGCTCATGGTGTTAAATGAGGGAAAGGCCCAAAATGCAGAGACTAGTGGGATCCCAAACCTGGACATCCTTAAGCTCCACAAATGCCTACATACAGGGCTTTGGTCAGAACTTCTCCTTAGTGAAACCTTGTATCCAAAGTCAGAGTCCAGCTTCCCAGGATCTTTCAGGGGGGACCAGACTTCACCTAAACCATTCCCTTTAGGCAGCTAAAGCTCGTGATCTGATGGGGAAGAGCAAAAGCAGGTTTCTTCCGTGGAGCCAGAAACCCCATAAAGCAAGTAATTCTGGTGCAGTGGTCAGGGTGAGTAGAGGTGCCCTCCCGCACATTAGAAAAGAAAGAGCTGAGGATCTGTGTGGCTCTAGGATTCCCAATGCCCTGGCTCAGTGCTCCTCAACTTCCCTCCAAGAGCTGGTGGGAAGGCAAGAGGTTAGGACAGCCGGGGCTTTACGGAGACCTGATTCCAAGGCACGTCATGGTGGGCTGACATGAAACTAGAGGGCATTGTGGAAATAGTTGACCCACTCGCACTCCTAGGTCTCAAAGAACTGAAACAACACAGACAAAACAGCCTTAACATCTGTAAGAAGAGAGTAAATCTCCTGTATTCTGATCTCTTCTCATCCCACTACAAAGATCTGTGTCCACAGCAAGGAGCAGGTGATGTTGTTCTTCTGCAGGAAACATGGTAACCATGAGTCATAGAATCATAGAACCAATTAGGTTGGAAAACACCTCATCCAGAGAAGAACTCATCCCTTTACAAACCCAGGTATTTCAAAGATGAGCATTAAGTTCAAGAAGGTCTGCAGTACGAATGTGGAAGAGGTCACTCAGCACACCACTACCTCTGGGGAGACGAAGCCAGCTTCCTAAAGGCACTGCATGTTCCGTAGGTACCCCATGGTCCTGCAGTCCCAGTTGGCTTCTCTCCCACAGCTATGAAACAATAAAAAAGCATTGGGGATCTATGAAAGCAAAGTGTCTTGACTCGTTTGTCTTCTCTCACTTTCCTGCCCATCCTATTTCCAAGCAGCTTTAAGCCCGGGTTTTTTGAAATGTGCTGCCGATTATAGCTCATAAAGGAGCTGCCTGGTATAGCTGAATTTCATGAGCCTTTACACACTTCCGTGAAAGACAGCCTTTCATCCCACGTGTACGTACATACTTCTTATGACTTGCTGTTTGCAAGCTTGCAGCAGACATGGTATAAAACCTCAACCTCTGCACTTCCTGTCCATAAATCACAGAATCATAGAATAGTTAGGGTTGGAAAGGACCTTAAAATCATCCACTTCCAACCCCCCTGTCATGGGCAGGGACACCTCACACAAAACCATGCCACTCAAGACTGCATCAAACCTGGCTTTTAACAATGCCAGGGATGGAGCATTCTCTGCTTCCTTGGGCAGCCCATTCCAGGGCCTCACCACCTTCACTGTAAAGATCTTCTTCCTTATATCTAGACTAAACTCCCCATTTTAATTATGAAGCAATTAATCCTTATCCTAACACTACACTCTTTAGTGAAGAGTGCCTCCCCAACAACTTTGGAGGCCCCTTTCAGGTACTGGAAGCTGCTAGGAGGTCTCCACACAGCCACCTCTTCTCCAGGATGAACCGCCGCAGCTTTCTCTGCCTGTCCTCCTCTAGAGTTGCCCGAACAGCTCCATATCCTTTTTATGCTGAAGACAAAAGAACTGTACGCAATACTAAAAGTGAGGTCTCACAAGCTCAGAGTAGAGGATCCAGATCACCTTCTTCAACCCTTGGTTACACATCACAGACAGCTGCAAGACACAGATCAGCAGCAGAGCAGCATCACGGTCCTCTCGCCACCGAATCTGGACTTCCCTAGCACTTGCTGGAAGTCCTGACTAGACCATTTTACTATGAGACAGTCTGCTTTAGACTGATACATCCATTCAGAGGGGTTCCCATGCTACCACGTGAGATATATGGTGAAGGGCTGCTGGCACACTGAGTTCACATGGCGATGGCTTCACCCAGCTTGCACCCCCAGTGCACCAGTACCTTCTGCTGCAAATTCATTTAAAGTCCTTCAGAGTTTCAGAGTCTGCTAGGTGGTGTCCTGGCTGTAGGACACACTGTCCTTAAGCCACTGAGTACCCAGAAATGACTACAGCTGTTCAGGATAATGGCCACACCAATCGCGCAAGCAGGTTAATGGGTAATAAGGTCACTACTTGGATAATAAAAAGAAAAGAAATAGTGAAAACCTTGAAGTGGTGGGACCTTAAATTCAGAAGGCATGCCTCAGGCACACACAGGGTTAGCTGCAACATGTCCTGCTGCTTCACTGCCACAGCAACACAGAGAAGGCAAGTCTATGCCATCCTGGACCCATGCAGCAAGAATTGGACATCTAGGGGACCTCAATGCCACGTGAAGGCATCTGGGGGCTTTTACATCATAAGCTTTGACGTGCTCTTTCTGTAATTCTTCCCGTAGTAACTCTCTGCTGGTAACTCCTGCCTGTGAGAGAAATCACACTCTTATCTGATTAAAACTGATTAAAAAGACCCTTTGCTAGAAGGCACTACACAAAACCTGAACTGGCAGGGATGTCAGGGAGAAAGCAGCAGTAATGTGTGAGCTCAGCTATGGATGTGCACTTCAAGGAAATACAGAGCTGTGCAGCATGGTGTAGGGTCACGCCACAGAGAAATGATGGGAACAGCCTTGGTAGGGCTATGCAGGCTTCTCCACCTCTGGTATGTTGGGCATGAATTTCTGAGGAGCCAGCCCTGACCCAAGAGCTGGAGCTCACTCAAGAGCCATGCTGTGGCTTCACAGCCCCTGCCCCAGGAAACACTCCCTCACCCTCCAAAGCCTGCATTTCCGAACAAGAGTCCTCCGGAGATGATTTCATCTCAGGCAGTTTGAGGAACAGCTGCCAAAAATGGGAGAGAGGAGAAAGCAAGAGGAGAGAGCAAGTGCCTTGCCAAAGGCACTGAAGCCCAACCACAGGACATAGACAGGCCTTCCATCTCATCCCCAAACCCAGAGCTGGGAGAAGAGTTATTGGGCAGGAGAGCTTCAAGAACATACACTCTTCCTCCTCCTGTCCCATGGCCACCCACATCTCTATACCTTCTCCTGCTGCTTCTGTGTAACCATGTTTGTGTTGTGGTGCACACCTTGTTCTGCCTCATCCTCATCCCCACAGAGCTGCTCATAAATGCGCTAGGCCTAGGAGAGCCAACAAACAGGGCAGGAGCCTGTTAGCAAGCAATGAGTTGCTATGACAACTCATGCAGCTAGCTCTGGAGGAAAACACAGCCTCCAAGTGAAGAGGTGGCCAAAGGCTGCCAGCAGAGCAGGGGACAGTACACAACGCCTCCAGTGCCCTGCTGCTTGAGCAAAACTGACCTCACAACACAAGTTGTGCTTCATTTGGCATGAAAAGCTCATAGCAGTTGAGTCCTTGACATCTAAATCACTCTTATCCAACTGTGTAAGGCTGCTGCCAGCCATGTCCCTGGCGTACTCTTCAGTTTTTCAGAGAACACTATGCAGACAGGAATGTGACGGTCTTCCTCTGCTGCAGCTCTTGATGTAGTGCCTGCATGAGTTGCAGCAGAGGAAGACCCTCGTATTTAAGACTGTGCCAGCAATGTGCACGCATGTTAGCCGTGTTAAACCCTATAGCAAGAAAGAGCAGCATGTTTGCTTTAGCACCATGGTCTTCTCGTACTGCAGGTTACTTGTTTTTGTGAATCACCTCCATTATCAGCTCTATCTGTGAAGACAACAGATTCAACACATCACTGACCATCGGAGCTCCACGATGGACTATGTGGCTTAGGAAGGGAAGAGGCACAGGCCAAACTCAGATGGCCTTAAGGATTTATGTCCACCTAAACCATCTAAACAAAACCCACCTTTTACACTTCTAGATAAGCCTCCACCTGTCTATGCAATGGAACTCTACTAATGAAATCCACCAATATATAGTACTGTATCATCTCCATAGAATCTAGGAAAATTGGGAAGCCCACTCCCCCCTGCTATCTCCAAACTTCCAACAGTTTTTCCTCATCTTCCAGACAAAGGAATTTCAAACCAGACAAGGTTAAAAGGCTTGCCATTTTTAGCAAACACTGTGGACATCACTCAACACTATATATATGAGATATATGTATATATGCTTTAAGAACATTCCTGGTTGAGGCTGGTGTCTCTGGAGGTGATCCCTGCGATAGCCAGCCCCAAAAGACACCCAAAGGAGAAAATGTGGCAGTGAGAAGAACAAGTCAGTGGATCAGCAGCAGACTTTCAACATACAGGAAGAAGCTCAGGGTTTCCCAGCAGGGGCAGGCATCCTTCCAGCAGCGGCCCCTTCCTGTAGGGTACTTGGGCATGGTGGGATATACAAGCCACAAGCCAGGATCCATCACCAAGAATGGTGATGTTTCAACACCTGGAACTTCTTCCGATGTAGTTTTTGCTTATCCCTGAATTCCTCCATTTTCTTTGCTTCTCCCCAAAGGTTTTCTGCCAGCTGGATCTGACCTTGTCCCACACTGTCTACCTCTGCAAAGAAAAGAAAGTTTCATATATTTATACATATATATATATAAATATACATATATACATATATATTCATATATATATACACATATATATATATTCTGAACATGCACAAGTCCATGGGTCCTGATGAAATCCATCCGTGGGTCCTGAAGGAGATGGCAAATGAAGTTGCTAAGCCGCTGGCCATCATATTTGAAAAATCATGGCAGTCAGGTGAAGTTCCCGACGACTGGAAAAAGGGGAATATATCCCCCATTTTCAAGAAGGGGAAAATGGATGACCCGGGGAATTACAGACCAGTCAGTCTCGCCTCTGTGCCTGGCAAAATCTTGGGGCAGATTCTCCTGGAAGGCATGCTGAGGCACATGAAAAACAGCAAGGTGCTTGGTGACAGCCAGCATGGCTTCACTAAGGGGAAATCCTGCCTGACCAATTTGGTGGCTTTCTATGACGGGGCTATGGAACTGATGGACAGCGGTAGAGCAGTTGATGTCATCTACCTGGACTTGTGTAAAGCGTTCGACACTGTCCCACACGACATTCTTGTCTCTAAATTAGAGAGACATCAGTTTGATGAATGGACCACTCAGTGGATAAAGAACTGGCTGGATAGCTGCACACAAAGAGTTGTGGTCAATGGCTCAATGTCCGACTGGAGACCAGTTACGAGTGGTGTCCCTCAGGGATCAGTGTTGGGACCGGTCTTGTTTAACATCTTCATTGCTGACATGGACAGTGGGATTGAGTGCGCCCTCAGCAAGTTTGCCGATGACACCAAGCTGTGTGGTTCGGTTGATATGCTGGAGGGAAGAAATGCCATCCAGAGGGTCCTTGACACGCTTGTGAGGTGGGCTGATGCCAACCTCATGAAGTTTAGCCATGCCAAGTGCAAGGTCCTACACCTGGGTCTGAGCAATCCCAGGCACAGCTACAGGCTGGGCAGAGAAGAGATTCAGAGCAGCCCAAGGAGAAGGACTTGGGGATGCTGGTCGATGAGAAAATGAACATGAGCCAGCACTGTGCACTTGCAGCCCAGAAAGCCAACCGTATCCTGGGCTGCATCAAAAGAAGCGTGACCAGCAGGTCGAAGGAGGTGATCCTGCCCCTTGATTATGCTCTCGTGAGACCTCACTTGTAGTATTGTGTACAGTTCTGGTGTCCTCAACATAAAAAGGACATGGATCTGTTGAAACAAGTCCAGAGGAGGGCCACGAGGATGATCAGGGGACTGGAGCACCTCCCATATGAAGACAGGCTGAGAAAGTTGGGGCTGTTCAGCCTGGAGAAGAGAAGGCTGCGTGGAGAACTCATAGCAGCCTTCCAGTATCTGAAGGGGGCCTATAGGGATGCTGGGGATGGACTCTTCATTAGGGACTGTAGTGACAGGACAAGGGGTAACGGGTTCAAACTTAAACAGGGGAAGTTTAGATTGGCTATAAGGAGGAAATTCTTTCCTGTTAGGGTGGTGACGCACTGGAATAAGTTGTCCAGGGAGGTTGTGAATGCTCCATCCACGGCAGTGTTCAACGCCAGGTTGGAGGAGGCCTTGGGTAATATGGTTTAGAGCGAGGTGTCCCTGCCCATTGCAGGGGGGTTGGAGCTTGATGATCTTGAGGTCCTTTCCAACCCTAACTATTCTATGATTCTATTCTATTCTATGATACAGATATATACAGATAAATACACACAGACATTAAAAGACTCCGTTGCTTGAATTAACTGTTGTAGCTGATATTAGACTGAGCCCATAGCATGCCTCTATTTCCAGAAACATATAAAAGCAGCAGGAATTTTGAAGTAGCATCCAAGCAGCATTAGCTATGCCAGCATCAGTTCTGCTGGGGGCCACCTTTCAGTGTAAGAAAACTGGTATCGAGAAGTTCTGCAAGCAAGTACAGTCACATCTGCCCCTCACCCCGATGAATTCAGACAGGTTTCAACACACAGCAACCTGAAGCAAAGAGTTGCCCCAGCTTAGCACACAGTCAAGCTGGGGCACAGGAAAACTGACGCTAAATAACCCTCAGTGGCCATACTGCAGAACAGCAAACCAGCAAGCTCATCGAGGGAAATATGCCAATTGTAGTTCACAGTTCAAGACCCAGAGGTGTTTCAAACCCACAGCTATCAATAGCCAGCTGCTTCAACAGCAGAGCCATGCTGGAGAGGTTCACAAAGGATCAGGGCAGCAGACAAACATGGCTGTGGCAGAGTGGACTCAACACAGGAGATCAGAATGCCAGCCCTCAGGGTGGGGATGCTGCCTGCCATGTGTACATGGAAATGAAGGGACAATGTAAGGTGGCCAAAGCATCATCTTGCAGATGCTCTGATTAGAAGTGTGGAATCATTTAGGCTGGAAAAGTCCTTTAAGAGTATTGAGTCCAACCATTTACCCTATGCTGCCAAACCTACCTCTAAACCATGTCCCGAAGTGCCACATCTGCACAACTTCTGAACACCTCCAGGTTTGGTGACTCCACCACTGCCCTGGGCAGCCTGTTCCAGTGCTTGACAACTCTCTCGGGGAAGAAATTGTTCCTAATACCCAGTCTAAACCTCACCTGGTGCAGCTTGAGTTCTTTTCCTCTTGTCCTATCACTTGGTACTGGGAAAGGACACTTTCAGAGGACTGAGGCAGATCTCTTCCCGGCTGATCCTGATACTGTCTGTCATGTGGCACAAGCTTTGCCAGTGCTAACACACCCTCCTGCGCTTATCGATCTGTGGGAAGATATCTGCCGGCAGGCTGCAACAGCAAATGACCCACGCAAAGATCACCCTTTTGATCCCAGCCCAATCAACGCTGACAGAGAACCCAACCTCTACCCCCTGACCCGCATGATATGTGGAAAAACGTTAAAAAAGAAGCAGAAAATCAAGGTGCTGTTGATGCAGAGGGTTGACAGGGGTGTTGTACAAGGGGGTTGTACAAGGGGGTTGTACAACAGGGTTAGAGGAACAAAGGTACTGTTTTTACCTATCATGCCTACTAAGCAGAGCAAAGACACTAACTATTGCTAAGGAAAAGCAGGCACCTGGTTCTATTGACAAGGAAAAGCAGACTGATTCTACTGGTAAGTGGCTATTGATAAGGAAAAGCAGATGCCTGAATCTACTGATAAGGGGGAGAAGTACATGGTTTATGGCTGGGACAGTAACCAAACCCTAAGGCCATACATGAGGACTAAAAGGTGAAAAGTTCAAGAAGAGGAAGACTCATTTACTTCATCTTGAGACTCCTGCCCATGACCAGAGGGGGCACTGCGCAGGCGCAAAGGACCTTCTAACTCATTGTAATACGAAGTGGGGATAGGATATGAATATGTATAAGTGTATTGTGCAACCTTATGAATATATATAACTTTAGAGAATAAATGTAGAGGGAAACAACACTGAGGGACGCATGACTTTGAGGAATTATCCCCGTGCGTCTCAGCGCTGAATAAAAAGCATACCTACTTTACAGCTTTAACGAGTTGTGGAGTCAATCCGCGCATCACTGTGAACCTGCCCCAAAACATGAAAGCTCCACATCCAGTCCGTCACGAGGCGAACTGCAGGCTGAACGGCGGGGAGGAAAACGGTGCTCCTGCGGGAGCCAAGCGGAGGCTGCGGCGGGGGCTCCCTTCCAGCCGAGGGGCTGCGCCTGATGGCGGCGGGACAAGGAGCTGCGGAGCACGAGCGCGTCGCCTCCACCTCCCTGTTGTCGCGACCTCACTCACTCGCGCGGTGACAGCAACAGCAGGCTCCTGTGGGCTCCCCCCATTGCCTGCCTGCGGGCAGAGGGCTGTGGTGCTCGCCCACCCCTCGCCTTTGTGTGCTCCGGCAGGCACCCGTACGCGCTGCGCCTGCCGAGATGCGTGCTGCAGAGCGGCGGGGGGGTCCACTCCTCCCAGTGGGAGGCAGGAAGAAACCCAGCCTCTGACCCGGAGGTTTTTCACACACAGCAATGGGCTGTTAACGATTCAGTCAAACATGCTAGGCTTCAAAATAGAGCTGATTTTTTTGCTATTAGCTCAAGGACATGGTTGTAAAGACTTTGATGAGATGTGTTGCATGAACCTACCTGATCGTTCTGAGTCTGTCCATGATGCAATTCAAAACCTAAAGCACAGAGTTCGCAAGTTGCGAGTGGATAGTAGCTGGAATTGGCTAGAAAGTTTGATGTCAGGATGGGGCGTCAGTGCATGGTTGAAAGACATTATTAAAATACACAAGCAGTAGCTTGTGTAAAAATCGTTATATATATATTATATATATATATTTTAATCACAGTTCCTTGTTTGATTGCTTGTATAAATCGTTTGATTGCTAAGTCTATTAACAATGTTTTGTTCATTTATATAGAAGGGGGAGATGTGGGAGATGCTGCACAAGAAGCTGTGTCAGTAGACCTGGACAAGAGCCTGGACATCTGGACTCTTATCAGCCACAAACCTTGGAAGAAGTGAACGGGACAAGTCGGGAAGAACTGGAGAAAGAGCATTGGGTGGAACCGAAGAAAGAGCATCAAGATAATTTCTAAAGACTGTAAATTTGGAAACAGGAGGGTGCTTAAGACAAGATAAAGAATGTGTAGTCAAGGGGAAGTTGAAGTGAGAGTGTAATGAGTAGAGATAGCAGAGAACTGTGTTTAGAAATAATTACTCAAGCAAAGGCTTGTGGACAGTAACGTGATTGGCTGATCAGTAAGATTGTTTTGTGATGGAAAAGTACTAAAGGAACTAATCCCTACTAATGGCTAGGCAGAATACTGTAAAAACCTGCAAGCTCACTCAATAAGGGATTTCGTTTGTATCCAGAAACAGAGTCCATGCCTCAGTTACCACAAGATTGGGCCTGGCAAGGGGTGCTATCCCATATAAAGGAGGGCCCACGTACAGTGGGGACCTTAGGCATGTTTATCCCTAATAACACTATAATAATAAATAAGCAAGGATTGCGTTCTCAAAGGTCAACACATGTTTTTTAACTGAGCTGCGATGAAAAAGTAAATTTTTGGAAGCCAGGTGAAATAATAGC